AGGAAAGGCACATTTGCTAATATAATGACAAATGCAAACCCTACAGACAAAGATATATAATTTGTAAAATAGCTGAGTGGGCAAAATCCTGATTTTTGCTTGCTCTAGACATTTCAGTGCACTTCTGATAATAATTCTCCTTGGGCAGTTACACTGATAGGAATCACAGCTGCGCATAAAGAGTGAGCTTAATTATACATACCTACCCACCTGAAATGAGGCTTTGTAGTTTCACATATACTTTCCTGTTTATAAAAGTGAAACATTTCTCTTTTAAAAAAAAAAATAGTATATGCCACCCTCACAGCATAAGAATCTCCTTGTATGAGTTGCTGAGTTGTCCTTTTGTCATAAAAGCACCCTTTCTTAACAGTGCAGGAGAACAAGACCCTGGATGAGATGAAATGACACAGTAACTGGGATAAAGAGGGTACATGTGTCAGAGACAGAGAGATTTTTGATTACATAAATCCAGGGAGATTAAGATATTTACGCTGAGTCATCCATAGTCTTATCTGCTCCCAGCTATGACTCCACGGAAAGGCAAATGGCTTTGTTTTTCTTGTTGGGTAATTGGATAGAGGCGCTATATAGTTTGTTTTGGGGTTTATGTATTTTTTTTAAGGTCACATTTCATTGTTTTCAGTGAACGTTTACACAGCAGTTTAGGTTCACACTCAGCAGTTTCTACATAAGATGTTCTGTGACATTGGCTACATTCTTTGTAGTATATGAACATTTCCATTATTCTCATTATGTCCTGATCCTTGTTTCATGTGGGTTTAAAAAAATTTTTTTAAATTGTGATTTAATGAAAATTTTTCACTCATTCATTAATGTACTTTTCCCTCTCCCTCCCCCAGTTCCCTTTGAAATACATGTCTTGTTCCAGATTGCTAATTGTTGTTGTTGTTATGTGCCATTGAGTCACCTGTGACTCATAGTGACCCTATGTACAGCAGCCTGAAATCCTGCTCTATCCTGTGCCAATATTATTGTCTCTGACACACCTACCCTCATTACCCTAGTCACTGAATCAGTCCATCTCACTGAGGGTCTTCCTCCCCTGCACTGTCCCTCCACCCTGCCAAGCACAACGTCCCTCTCCAAGGATTAATCCCACCTTGTCTAAAGTGTGTCAGACGAAGCTTCAGAATCCCTGCTTCCAGGAAGCAGCCTGGCTTCACCCTCTCCAGGATGAACCTGTTTGTTCTCCTAGCAGTCTATGGTATATTCAATACTCTTCTCCAGCACGACAGCTCAAAGGCATCAATTTTCCTTCTATCATCCCTAGTCATGGTCCAGCTTTCCGACACATAGCAAGTAATTGCAAAGACCATGGCCTATATTAGGCGCACTTTAGCCTCCAGACTGATATCGTTGCTCTTCAGTTCTTTGGAGAGGTCTCTGACAGCAGACTTTCCCAATGCAATTTGTCTTAATTTCCTGGCTGCTGGTATGAAGAGTGTTGATTGTAGTGCCAAACAAACTGAAGCTGTTAACAATCTCAATCTCTTCACGATCTATTATGATGCTGCCAATCAGCCCAGTGGTGAGAATCTTTGTTTTCTTGATGTTGATATAGATATTGTTAATTGTCATACATATAATGTCTAATCACCCATTCCTTTCAGAAAGTCCTTCCCTTCATCTGTTTCAGTGTAGTATTCATCCCCTGTCCATTCTTTTCCTGCTCTTCCCTTCTCCGTGTCCATCTTATTTTTATAACAGTGGTCTTATACAGTATTTGTCCTTTGTGACTGATATATTTCACTCAGCATGATGTCCTCCAGACTTCTCCATGTTGTGTAGTTTTTTATAAACTAATTGTTTTTCAGTGCTGCATAATATTCCATTGTGTGGACGTACCACAATTTTTCTATCCATTTGTTTTAAATTATATTGGTGGGAGAGTGAAAAGAATCAGTCCTGGTGAGAATGTTGAGGGTACTCTGGTGGCCTAGTGGCACAAGAAGATACAATCCAATCCTGAAGACATGATATTCACCCACCAGCTTTTCTGTGGGAGAAGGATGGGCAGTCTCCTCCCAAGCAATTAACTGTATCTGGAGGGTCAGCTATCTGTCATTTCCGACTCATTGGTACACAGCAACAACAGTGAAAGTGTTATCATGCTAGGAAAGATAGTGGTTGTGTGCCATTAAGTCAGACAAACTCATAGCTCTAGCTGGTGCATTCAAACTGCCTGCCTTGGCCTTGACCCTACATACAGCTTCTTACCACTTGACCAACAAGGTCAGGGAGAGAGAGGAAGACCCTCAACGGTGTGAATTGACACAGTGACTACAACAATGGGCTTGAGCGTGGCAGAAATCAGGAGGATAGTGCAAAGTTTCAGTCTTTGTTCAGAGAGTTGTTGTGAGTCATAGTCGACTTGACTGCACCTAACAACTAGAAGTGAGAGTTAAGGGAGTGCAGTGGCCTACTGAGTAGAGCTGCAGTGCTGACTCAAAGGTGGGACCTCTCTGCCAGTTCAGATCCACCAGCGACTCCACAGGAGAAAGAAGGACAATCCCCTCCTACACGATTACCATCTCTGAAAACCCACTGGAGGGTCAGCTATGAGTTGGTTCCGACTTGACGGCAATGAGTAGTAAAAGTGCGAGGAACTCTGGTAGCACAGTTGTTAAGCATTTCCTTGCTGACCTAAAGGTGGTGGCTTGACTCTGCCAGCCCCTCCAAGGAGAGAGATGTAGAAGCACGCTCCCATGAAAGGTTGCAGTCTTGGGTAACTTCTGAAGGAATTCTACCCTGCCCTGCAGGGCTGTTGTGAATTGGAATTGACCTGATTGCAGTAGGTTTTGGAATGAGAAGGATAAATCATCCTCAGCTTATTAGTACTGAGCTCAGTCATCTTAGCTCAAAACAGTAAGAGGTAGCCAATGTGGTCTGGGTGCTAGTGTGTCTCAGGCACTGCACTAAATTCTTTCTGTGTATTATTTTGTTTCATCTTCACCATTTTATGAAGTAGACCTAAAATCCTTGTAAGTTGCCAGGACTTTTCTTCTGAAGCACCTCAGGATTCACTTAAACCTTCAACCTTATGGTTGAACCTAAGTGTATTAACAATTTCTGCTGCCACCCAGGGACATCTAACTGGTGAAAGACCCTAGTTAGTAAGTTACAAACTGAAGATTCAAGCCCAGACAGTCAGTTAGAGCCCTCGCTCCTAGCTGTTGTCATACAGCAGAGCTGGTACATCTCAGGCTTAACACCAAGGGTCCCTTGGGTTTTTTTGTTTTTTTGGGTTTTTTTTTAAAAAGTCATGTTTAAACTCAATGCAAGTACACACTCTGGCCCCCATGTGTCTGCCCTTGGTGGGGTGGAAGGGTGACTAAGCTAAGGTCAGGCACTGGGTCTGTGGGAAGAAACTCTCCAGCCAGGAAGGACTGTGAGAATGGTAGGGGTCATCTCTTTCCAGATAACCATTTTTTTTCAGGTTGATGAGAAGAGAGAGTCAGAAGGGGCCTCTCTGAGTTGGTTTCCAAAACGGTCTAGTCATCCTTTGTGCCCTTTCTCGCTAGTTCTGTGCACCTTTTCCTGAGGACTCATAACCACAACATCCTCCTCAGAATTGCTCTATCTTGATGGAACCACTTCTCCAGAGCCAAACTCTCCAGAATTCTTTTCTTCAGAGTGTGTAAGCGATCGCATCTGGATGTTAGAAGGTGGTAAACTGAAACGGATGGACAGTAATGTGCGACTGATTCCTCCGCCAGTAAATAATCCCCTAGTCTCCATAGGAACACAGCAATAATAGCCACATTTCTGAAAGAGGTGATTTTGATAAAAATCACACTACCATTCGCCCTAAGGGAGGGAGACAGTTCTGAACTGGGAGAGGTCAGATACTGAGGAGGCCCCGCCACCTGTGTCCTGCAGACTGGCTGTGGGGATCTGGGAGCTTTCAGAAGGGCCTCACTGCAGACCCAGTCAGACTCTCACGAGACTCACCTATTCCAGTGAGGCCCAGAAACGTCTTCAGTGCATGATTTACTATTGGTGGAGTATAATCGTATACACACACAACTTTAAAAGTTCACATGTAACATTTCCTAGCAATATGAACTCCAAAAAGTATGTTTGCAGATAATTATTATAATTTTCATTAGTTAAAGTTATGTTTCCCGAACTGGAATTTCACAACCACAGGTTGCATCTTTGAACATCACTTTTTTAGACCTTGAGACCTATAACCTTCTCATTATCAAGAAGTTCCATGCTGCTCCAAGTTATGCTTGAGGTCTCAGCCTGCTTGTGGTCATTAAGACCCTTTAATACTTCCCAAAGACATTGGCAATGTTTACTTAGTTGTACTTGAATAATTAAACCTCCAATTAAGCAAAAAAAATCATCTGGTTATTTTTTATATTAAAATATAGTCTTCAAAATTGTGCTATAATATTTAGCATGCCATTGTGAAATGATTACATTTAATGATAGTGATGACAGTTTTCAATTGAGTTATAGGAAGGCTTGTTAGAGCATGTTTAAATGAAGGCTAAAAAATATTACATAAGTAAAAAGAAACAAAAGGGTTGAAGATAGATTTTAGGCAGCAGATCGTGAGGGCCTGACTGAGGTCATGGCCAGAGATCCTTTTCCACTCCCCACCCCACTCTTCTTGTTTTTGTCCCCTTTTACTATAACTAATAAGACTCAAACATAACAATGATTGTGAAAATGGCACAGGACTGGACAGTATTTTGTTATGTTGTGTATAGGATCACTATGAATCAAAATGGACTAGATGGCACCTAACAACAACAATTAGGTCGTATAGTGCATCTTTCCAGTGTTCTTATGAAGAGGGGGGAAAAAGATCACTCTGAAAACATAATGCTATTTGGTTTCATAATCCCCAAACTAACACCTAATTTCTCTTATGACAAAAGTGACCTTTTCAAATTTAACTTGTCCAAGGGTAACTAGAATTGACTTAATTTCATTATGTCTTCTTTATTCCACCTTAATTACAGCCACTTGGAGCCAGCGACTATCTAGAACTATCAAGGAATTTTGACACCGTATTTTTACGAAGCATTCCACAATTTACCTTGGCAAAAAGGACCCAAGCTCGAAGATTCATAACTCTCATCGATAACTTTTATGATTGCAAGGTAAAGATACAAGATACAGTACATTTCCTCAGAACTTATGTTCTGGGCTCTCAAGCCAGACAGCATGGGCTGAAATCTGGCTCTACCATTTATTCACCAATCTATGCCTTGGTGTCTCCATCTGTGAACTTGGCATAATAACATTTACTTTATAGGGCTGTTACAATGACAAAATAGGGTGACTATATATATATATCTCCCAGTATAATAATACTGGATACAAGCTGAGTGTCCTTTTAAATACTAATAGTCTTAAATTATTATTATTATTAAATACTAATATTGTTACTATTTAATATTTTTAATATTTAATATTCTTAATTAATATTAAGTAATTTTCTTTCTAGTAATAATAGTATATTAAACTTCCATTGCCAAACACTCTTATATACCAACCATTCCATCATTCTGCTAGATCATGTGCTAGATCTATGATGATGTGTAACAAAATGCCTTGTTTATTGTGAGTTCCCAGTAAATGCTTATGCATGAATAAACTATTGACTGACTGAATAATGACTAAAAAATAAGAATGGATGAGAAAAGAACAGTCTGGAGCAGAAGTGTGTAGGGAAGTCCTTCTGAAGGCCACCTACATCAGATTCCTCTGGACTACTAGAGAGGTGGACTCCAGAGACCACTTCCTGTCATCAAATGCTTTCAAGCTCCTCAAGTGCTTCTTAGGAATGCTGTGATGTGATAATTGGACTGCACGTGAAAGGTGAAATTTGGCAGTGAAGCGGCTGAGCGTGGACAGCAGCCAGTGTGACTCTAACGTATTTGCGAAGAGGAGCCTGCCTGTGAGTGTGACCTGAAGTGTGATCTGCTACATGTACCCACAGGCCACCATATGTATGAACAGGGAGGCAAGAGCCTGGGAACATTGAGTTATGAGATCTATTAGTGGTTGCCTTTGACAGTCAATCATCTAGGACTGGTCTTTGGTAACCTTATGGGGTCTAGAATAGTAATCAGGAGACAGGCTGGAGTTGGGTATACCATTTATAAGAGAGCTACTGTCAGGTACCTCTACAGAGTACTAAAGAGCAACAGTGTCAATCTACAGACTAAGGTGTGCCTGATTCAGACCATGGTCTTTGCAATTACTTGCTATGCATCAGAGAGCTGGACAATGACTAGGGATGACAAGAAGAACTGATGCCTTTGTGTTGTGATGCTGGAGAAGAGTACTGAATATTCTGAGGACCACCAAGAGAACAAACAGGACTGTCTTGGAGAGGATGAAACCAACTTTTTCCTTGAAGGAAAATCTTTTGAAGCTCTAAATCACATACTTTGGGCACGTGTTCAGGAAAGGCCAGTCCTTGGAGAAGGACATCATGCTTAGAAGAGTGGAGGGGCAGTGCAGGAGAGGAAGACCTTGAACAAAATAGATTGACATAGGAACCAGAGTAATAAGGGTAAATGTGTTGGAGTCAGTGAGACTGACTCAGGATAGGGCAGGCTTCGGAGCTATTGAACAAAGGGTCTCTGTTAGTCACAGGTGACTGAGTGGCACACAAACCAACAACAACAGTGCTTCAAGAAGAAAATGCAGAGGAGCATTAGTCGGTGGTTCTTAAGAATTGAGACAGTTTTTTGGCTAGAAATATCATAAAGAAAGCTTTTGACCAGCCTCCCTCAAGCTTATCCCTATCCTTTTTTATCCCCATTCTCCCCCACCACCTCTTATCTGACAAGATGATGGAACACCTGAACTACATTCCTGATATTTGCTTTAACAGAACCACATATTTAGAGTTTATACTTTTTTTATAAAAAGTAATTTTAACTGTCAGTCTTATAAATTGGAAACATAAGGCAGACTTTATTCTAGAATGTGTCCATGGAAATTTGTTAAATAATGAATTGTTGTTGTCGTTCAGTGCTGTCAAGTCAAGTGCGACTCCTAGAGACCCTATGAACAAAAGATCTGAACCCTGTTCTATCCCACACCATCCTCACACTTCCTGACACACAGAGCCCATTGTGGCAGTCACCATATCAATCCACTTGGCTGAGAGTCTTCCTCTCCCTTTGCACCTTTCCCACCATCATGTCTTTCAGCCCCTCCTTGCAATATACTCAAAGTATATAAAATGAAGCCTCCTCATTCTTGCCTCCAAAGAGCACTCTGATTGCACTCTATCCAAGACATATGTGTCCATTCTTTTGTCCATCTATGGGATGTTCTGTGCTCTTCTCCAACACCACAGCTCTTCTGTCATCTTTATTCACTGTCCAACTCTCAGATGCATAGAAAGTAAGCAGAAAGACTATGGCCTGAATCAGATGTACCTGACATTGCTGTTCTCAATAATTTGGAAAGGTCCCTAACTGCAGGTTTCCCCAGTGCAATGTGCCTCCTTATTTCCTGACTGCTGGTACCAAGGGTGTTAATTGTGGACCCAAGCAAAATGAAGCTGTTGACAGTTTCAATCTCTTCTCTATCCATTACGACATTGCCTACTGGTCCAGTGGTAAGAATCTTTGTTTTCTTGATATTGAGATGCAATACTGAATACTCCATCCTGAAAGCTGTATTTCTTGATCTTCTGCAATAAATGTGTGTCATCCGCATAATGCAGGATATTCTCATCTAAATAATGGGAAACAAATGGTCATTGTAATGAAAAGAAAAAGCTTATAAGAAGAGGAATAACTTTTGGAACAAATTCAGCCAAAATGCTCCTTAGGAGCAAGAATAGTGAGACTGCATCTCACTTTGTTCTCAGGAAGGACCAGACCCTGACAGAGGAGGTCATGTTTGGGACAGGAGAGGGCTAGTAAAAAAGAGGGAGACCCTCAATGAGGTAGACTGGCACGGTGGCTTCAGAAGAGAAACAAATAGCAACAATTAATTGTGAAGATGGTACAGGACTAAATCACATTTCATGTTGTTCATTTATAAATGACTGTATGTATACATAGGAAGCTCTGGGAGCTTAGTGGTAAGGGCTTGCACTGCTCCCCAAAGGCATGCAGTTCAATTTCACCAGCTGCTCTGTGAGAGAAAGAGGGGCAGTCTCCTCCCATGCAGTTTACTGCCTCTGAAAACCTGCTGGAGGGTCAGCCATGGACTCGATGGTACACAACAACATGTATCCGTAAGGTCACTATGTTCAAGCTGACTTGATGGTACCCAACAACAAGGTTACAGGATGTAGAAGGGTATTTGGATATGGAAATGCATGTCCCAAGGGTCAGTTAAGTTATTTTAAAACATTGGTGGATTTAGTTAAATAACAATTTTTAAAACATAGCTGGAATTCTGCAAAGTCAGGACTCTCTAAACATCAAGAGGAGTATGTTATGCTGGTGACATAAAATTTCTAAAAGAGATAAGGTCATTTTCAATGCATTATCACATATGCATACTCACTTAAATACTTAATGTAGTCAAGAAGTACTAATGTAAATATTAATCTTTTTGAAGACTGTCCTGGCAGGATGCTGATATAAGTGGAAGCACATAGTTCAATTCCAGTCGTGATGCACTGAGCTTAGCAGTCACCTTTGCAGCAAAATAGTAATTTCTCACCAGTGTATCTGGGAGCATGTTTGGAAAAGAGCCTGGTTCCAAATACCCAGAAATAAATTACCACATCAGGGGATAACAGGAAGAGCACTGCACTTAGAACCAGAAGATTAGACCAAGATCTTTCTCGCCTGATGTTAGTCCAACGTTTGCTTTCTGCTTCTCAGAGTGGTAGGTGTATGGAAATATTTTTATGTATGCCATGCAGTTAGAAATCTTATTTTAAAGAGACATTAACTACTAGAGAAAGAGGAACGTTTTAGAAGCCAAGATAACAGGCTTTTGTTTGGTGAAATCTCTGTCCATAACGTCACCTTGCCCAGTATACAGAGTAGCCCTCTCAGCCATTTCGCTGTGTTTCAGGTGCGTATAATTTGCTCTGCACTGACTCCTCTGTCAAGCTTGTTTCTGCATCAACATCATGACAATGATATGGAGCAAAGCAGAATACTGATGGATGATTTGGGGCTGAGCCAGGTAGGTGATATTAACATCATCTCTTTTTATTATAAAATAGTTATAATTGGTTTTGGTCTGAAATATGGCTTTGTTTTGAAGAAGGGCTGCAGTATGTGTCTAACCATTGGTTTTCTTTCTTCTAAGGCCCCTATAACAGACTGATTAGTGTCAAATTACTAAATATAAAAAAATTCCAATTTTAGAGAGCAAGGAAACTTAGTGATGATATAGCCTAGCACCCGCTTTTGCATATGGCAGAAATGATGTCCAGAGAGATGAGCTGCACACAGTAAACAACTGATACGTGACAGGCTGGGCCTGGATGTCCAAGCACCTGTGTCTGGTTCTAGGCTCATCATTCTGTTATCCTATGCCACTTCTGCTGGATGTTGTTCATCATTAAATCCATTTCTGGACTTGTTAAGTGTATAATATAGTATTGGTCCATGTGAGCTGGCTAGTTCAGGGTCGGGTAGTACCTACCAGACAAAGCCCTTGGCTTTGAAAGAATTCAGTGTAATCATCTCCCAACATCCATCCAGCAAACACTTATGGAGCACTTGTGGGTACCAGATTCTGGCACACTCAGTAGGGAAAAGCCAATGCTGGCCCAGTCCTCCTAAAGTTAGTATCTGGTTGTTGAGCCCATACCAGGTAGTTGTTGTTGTTGTTACGTGCTGTCAAGTCACCTGTGACTCATAGTGACCCTATGTACAATAGCCCTAAACTCTGCCCTACCCTGTACCAATCTCACTATCTCCGACACACCTACCCCCATTACCCCAATCACTGAATCAATCCATCTCATTGAGGGTCTTCCTCTCCTGCGCTCTCCCTCCACCATCCCAAGCATGATTTCCCTCTCCAAGGACCTGTCCCTCCTTACAACATGTCCAAGGTATGTCAGACAAAGCCTCAGAATCCTTGCCTCCAAGGAGCAGTCCCGCTTCACCCTCTCCAGGACAAACCTGTTCATTTTCTTAGCAGTCCATGGTATATTCAACACCCTTCTCCAACACCACAACTCAAAGACATCAATTATCCTTCTATCATCCCTAGTCATTGTCCAGCTCGCTAATGCATAGCAAGTGATTGCAAAGACCATGGCATGTATCAGGTGCACCTTAGTCTCCAGACTGACATCGTTGCACTTCAGTACTTTAGAGAGGTCTCTAACCGCAGACTTTCCCATCACAGTACATCTTTTAATTTCCTGGAGTGACTAAATCTTCTTCCTCTGTTAAAACATTACAGAGTATATATCTCAGCTATAGCCAATTGGTGTATTAGCCAAGATTTTAAAGCCATATATCTATGCTCATCTTAAGAACAAAAGGAGTCCCATTGTTCAATCCTCAGAGACAAAAGTTATTTGGAAAGAGAAAATAGTTCCTTATTGGCCTGAGTAGACATGGTGTATTCTCAGGAATTTGGAAGAATAAAACTAATAGTCCTTTTAAAAGGAAACTTTTAAAGTGTGATCACGTAAACCTCTATCAGAAATAAAGAGCTGTTTAATAAATAGCTCCAGTGGACTGAGACTTTTGAAATGGAGATTTCTCTAAGAACAATACTTATGACTACATATTGCCTTTGATAATTTAAAGAATATACTTGAAGGATGTTTTAGTTACCCAATGCTTCCAGAACAAAAATACCACCAGTGGATGACTTTAAGAACAGAAGTTTGGCCTAGTGGCAAGAAGCCATATTGCAATCCCAAAGGTACGCGGTTCGAATTCACCAGATGCTGTGCCGGAGAAGGAGGGACAATTTCCTCCTGCACCAGTCAGATCTGATTTGACAGTACATGCGTAAGAAATAATAAAAAAATTAAAAAAAAAACAAAAGTATAGTCCTATGATTCAAAAGGCTATTAATCAGACTTCAAAGTGAGACCTGAGAGGGATGCCCTTCCTTGTCTAATTCAGCTTCTGGTAATGGCCAGCAGTCCTTGTCAATCTGTGTTTACCACTTCTCTTCTACTTCCCTCTGTGTGTATATGGCTATTTTTATAGCTCAGAAGTGATTATATTTAGACCTCACTCTACTCAGGGAGCTCTGGTGGCTTCACGGGTAAGGAGTTGTACTGCCAATCCAAGGCAGACAGTTCAAATCTACTAGCTGCTCCACAGAAGAAAGATAGGTAATCTCCCATGCAATTTACAGCCTCTGGAAATATGTAAGAGGGTCAGCTAAGAGCAGGTTCCAACTTGATAGCAATGAAATGGAAAGAAAGCTATTCAATTATTATTTGATTAACAATAAATAAAGACCTGTTTCCAAACAGGATCATTTTGAGGGGGCACAGTTTGGTGCATAACAAGGTGCTGCATCTTCTCTCTGTTTCCAAAGTCCTTTAGATTGTTGTTATTGTGTGCTGTTAGGATGGAACCTACCCACAGGTGACCTGTTAGCAGGTTTTCAGAGGCAGTAAATTGCACAGGAGGAGACTACCCATCCTTCTCCCACAGTGCAGCTGGGGGATTCGAACCACATACATTTGGGATTGCAGTATAGTTTCTTTACCACTAGGCCATCAGAGCCCCTTTTAGATAATTGTTGGTATTGTTAGGAATTGTCAAATCGAGAATAACACATAGCAACCCTTGGAACAGCTAACCGGACCCCTGCCCTATCCTGGACCTCCTCATCAGCTCTGACACACTAGAGCCTATTGCTAAAGTCACTGTGTCAGACCATCTAGTTGAGGGTTTTCCTCTCCTTTGATGACCCTCTATCTTTACAAGCATGATGTCCCTTTTCAAAAGGGGCCTCACCTAAACTTGTTGTTGTTGTTATGTGCCATCAAGTCGTTTGCAACTCATAGTGACCCTATGTACAAGAGCCCTAAACGCCATTCTATCCTGTGCCAACCTCACTGTCTCAAACACACTCATTCCCACCGCTCCACTCACAGAATCGATCCAGCTCATCAAGGGTCTTCCTCTCCTGCGCCGTCCCTCCACTCTCCCAAACATGATGTCCCTCTCTAAGGACCAGTCCCTCCTTGCAACATGCCCAAAGTATGTCAGACAAAGCTTCAGAATCCTTGACTCCAGGGAACATTCTGGCTTCACCCTCTCCAGGACAAACCTGTTTGTTCTCCTAGCAGTCCATAGTATGTTCAATACTCTTCTCCAGCACCACAACTCAAAGGCATCAATTCTCTTTCTATTATCCCTATTCACTGTCCAACTTTCCGATGCATAGCACATAACTGCAAAGACTATAGCCTGGATCAGGTGCACCTTAGTCTCCAGCCTGACTACGTTGCTCTTCGGTACTCTTGAGAGGTCCCTCACAACCGACTTTCCCAATGCAATTCGTTTCCTGATTTCCTGGCTGCTGTTACCAAGAGTGTTGACTTTGGAGCCAAGTAAACTGTTAACTATCTCAATCTCTTCATCATCCATACTGATGCTGCCAATTGGCCCAGTGGTGAGAATCTTTGTTTTCTTGATATTGAGCTTCAATCCATATTGAAGACTGCAGTCCTTGACCTTTTGCAGCAAGCGCTTCAGGTCCTCCTAAGTTTCAGTGAGCAGGGTTGTGTCATCTGCTTAACTACATGTCCAAAATATGAAAGACGAAGTTCCGCCATCTTTGCTTCCAAGGAGCCCGCTAGCTGCACTTTTGCCAAGACACACATACTTCCTCTTTTGGCAGTCTATGGGATAGTCAGTAATCCCACCCCCTAGCCTAGGGAGGGAGCTCTGGTGGCTTAGTGGGAAGAAGTGCAATCCCAAAGGCACACATTTCAGTCCTCCAGCTGCTCTGTGGGAGAAGGCTGAGCAGTCTTCCTCTTGTGTGATTCATAGCCTCTGAGCACCTCTCAGGGGTCAGCTATGAATCAGTTGTGATTCTGTGGCACACAACAGCAACATCCCTAGGTACTCAAGGTATGTGATTCAAAGCCACCAGTTCCTCTGAGGTAAAAGATGGGAAGTCTCTTCCCATGAGACTTACTGCCTCTGAAAAACTACGGGAGAGTCAGCTATGAGTCCGTTCTGACCCAGCAGCACACAATAACAGCCACAGCTCTAAGGTCAGGTTCAGACACAGGGCACAGTAAGCTCAGTACTTGGGAGTGATAACATAAGAAGAAATCAGAAGATATAATCACACAGCCCGAGAGCTTGGGTGGCCAAGTCAGTTGGAAATACTGCGAGACCACCGCAGTTCCAGTCTGCCTACAGCTTCATCATTTGAAGTTCGACAGCCTCTCTGCATTTCCATTTATAACCTCGGAAACCCTACCAACTGTCACCATGAGTTGGAACCATCTCCATAATAGTGCGGGTGGGATTTTTATTTAGAAACTCATAAGATCATGAGGATCAGATGGACATAGAAACCTAGGATTTTTCTTTGAAAGCCTAATAGTTAAACCCTAAGGGAAGAGCTATAGACATAAAGCCCTCTTGGTGGTCATGAGACCATGTTATTGCTCCTGGTCCAGGACCACTCAGCAGCTTACAAGATCTGAGTGGGGGAGTAGCTTTACCCTAAAGAAAGTACCCATGTTCCAGCAGCTGCAGCCTTGCTGAGATGAGATCCCAGACACGTTCTGCAGGCCCCCAGGGGACCTCACTGTAATCATCCTTCAGAGTCAGGGCCACCCTGACTCCCACCCCCACCCCACAGACATGGGAATCTGTCCACCATGCTGCCGAGAGAAGCATCAGTTTCCCAACTTCCCAGAATGAATGCTCTTTGCTCTTATTGATTCCTGATCTGCATTTTGGGAGAAAGGATTAATTTTCTTTCTGAATGTCCTTTGGGTTTAAATAAGCTGATCCTCCAGTCTATTCAAAGATTGTGAAGTGGCACCTGTGAGAACTCAAACTCTACGGGACTGCCTTACTCTTTTTTTTCTTCTTCTTCTTTTTTTAATTAATTTTAATGAAAGTTTACAGAGACTTAGGGTTTCCAGTCATTCACTGTTGCACTTTTCTCCCTGCCCACCACCCCCGCCCCAATTCTCTTTTCTTCTTGAAAAGAAAAAGAAAAACTCTTTCACTGATATGCAATCCCTCCCCCTCAAGTGCACTCCACGACAGGGACTGCCTTATTCTTCCAGATCTTGCAAGCTTTCCATCTGTAGCAGGGTGCAGCCTTGCCCTGTTACTACCACTCTCTATTGGTAAAAATATTTGCTTTCAAACAGGTTCCAGCTTTTGCAAACTTTACTTAATATGTAGAGATTTTGGGGGGAAAACCACCCCAAAACCAAATCCATTCTCATTTGAAAGGTACACCTACACAGTGTTTACAATCTTGCACTAAGCTCTGTAGGTTTTCATCTGCAGTGGTTTTGATTGATTGTGCATTTTTCAAACTAGGACTCAGCAGAAGGTCTTTCCATGTTCACTGGAGAAGAGGAAGTCTTTGCATTTCAGCGCACAATATCCCGGCTCACAGAAATGCAGACGGAACAGTACTGGAATGAAGGAGACCGAAGCAAAAAGTAACAATCACTTTCTCATGAATAAAATGCCAGACAGATGATTCATGCAGGGAGAACTCTTTATTGCAAGACTTGAATGAATCATTTTCTCATCATTAATTTTGCACTTTGTCCTCTGGGCCATTTTTATATAAAACTGCTGTCAAAGAAGTAGTGGATTAATAAGTTAAAGCCATTTTTATGGACCTACTCATTTGCTTATTTATTTGGAGTTGCTTTTGCACCACAGAATGAAAATCAGCTTTCCAGAGATGAATGTAGGACCAGACTTTTAACTTTGTTATGTCACCTGACCAAACCCTGGGTCACAAACCCAGGTGAGTTCCAGGTGTCTGGAAGGTGCCAAGGTTTGGCTACACAGTGGTCTCATGCAGGAAAAACATGTTTCATGAAAGGAAGAAAGAACAGTATGTTTCTATTCAAGACAAAGAAAATGCTCTGGTTTATTACAAACTGGAACAAATAATGTTTTAGAACATAGGTTTAGGCATGTAATCTTTTTATCTTTAAGCTCTAATAAACCTCCCAGACCTGCAGGGAGCATGTGGTTGACTGTGAGAGCACGCCTGGCAGGCAGGACCTGACCACAAGCCCACTCACAGTTGCCAGAGGCAAATAAGAGAGTATGGAGGCAACAGGTAAGAGTACACGTGTCAAAACCCAATTGATGGAGAGATCTTCAGGCAGATCCCCCACAAAATCCTCTCCACAAACTCTGACAGCCAACAACAGTCGAGCCATGGGGGGGGGGGGGGGGGGGGGGGGGGGGGGGGGGGTGTCCTGAAACTAAGAACAGGGGGAGTCATAGACCTTTGGTGCCACACAGTGGAGACCACTGGCCTGAAGCTTCCAGGACTGCAGTGGACAAGTGGTTCCTCTGTGCCATTTCTGTGCATTTGTTCCACTGTAGCAGGCCACGGCCCAGATCTTCATCCTTGACTCAAGCCAGGCCTTCAACTTCGACACAGCCTACACCTTCATCCTCACCACAATGAGGACCTTCATCGTTTCCTCGACCCAGGCCTTCATTCTCGGCACACCACCAGCCTTCATTCACGCTGCCCTTGCCGCATCCTGAGGAGAGACAGACCTAGCAGTAAATAGGAAAGAATGCTTAACCAATCTATTTTAAATAAAGCCTCAACAAAGGTTCATCCTTCCTTGGGTACTTACTTTATTGACTTATTGTCACAGAGGGGAAACTTGACTAAAGCTCTTCAGAGAGTCAAAATCCCTCTTTTAAGATGTAAATTTTACAAATTCTTGTGAAAATCAAGCATTTTGTTTTGGTTGGCACTAGTAAATCAGTTCAAATAAATGATTAGGATGATTGTCAGTAAAATAAGCTCCTTAAGCCTATATAATTTATTGAGGCCTGCCTCTACTATTACAGCAGCCTGTCTGGGGTATTAGCCTACTGAAGTCAAACAGATAGATGAGTTAGGTACCCCAGTGTAGAGAAAGGACAGGAAATAGCCACCGTGTGCCAGATTTAATGCTCAGTCCCTGCGTTTTCTAGTGACCTAGTGGGAAGGAACTGCACGGCCCACCGGAAGGCATGTGATTCAAATCTGCCATCTGCTCCGCAGAAGGATGTCATTCTCCCTTGTGGCAGGGTCACTTAACAACTTATGTTATTTAATGAATGAACCTTGGTGGTACAGTGGGTAAGTGTTGGTCAACAACCCAAAAGATAGGCAGTTTGAACCCACCAGCTGCCCTTTAGAAGAAAGATGAGGCAGTCTGCTCATCTCATAAACAGTCTTGGAAACCCCACGAAGCAATTCTACTCTGTCCTGCTTCGCACTGGGATCAACTCAGCAGCAGTAGGTGCATGTTTATGTTTTATCTACATCGTTGTGTGCCATCGAGTCAGAACCGACCCATAGCTGAACCTCCACAGGGTTTTCAGACAGTAAATTGCAGGGTGGAGATTGTCCATCCCCTAAAGCTAGTATAATCATCCTTATTTATAGTTAAGGAAACAAACTTAGAAAAAAATTAAGTAGCGTGACTCAAGATTCATTGCCTTTAACTATGAAATTCTTATACTATGTTTTATACTACACTGCCTCCTATCTCACTATAAAAAAGAAGTAAATTTTTAATGTTGGTTTTATTAGCTTTTAATGCTAAGTTTTAATAGAACCATTGGTTTTGAACTCAATATAAAATAGTTGACCTAATCCTTTACACCTTAGCTTTTTAGTTTTTTAGGTTTCTTTAGCAATTATCTATAAAAAAAATGTGGTTTAAATGGCTAGATGGACAGTCTGATTGATAGAAAGAACTTAAATTTCACTAGAGATCAAATATTTGGAAATAATTCATTTTCCACTAAAACATTAGCTAGAATTCTGGTTCAATATGCAAAACCCTGAAAACTCATTGTCAAGTCAGAACCCTCGAATGGCTGACTTGCCAGTGGATTTTCAGAGGCAGTAAACTGCACAGGCAGAGAAGGCCCATCTTTCCACTACAGAGCAGCTGGTGAATTTGAACCTCCTGCCTCTTACCCGCTAGGCCAATAAAGCACCTTTCAATGCATAAAGACCCACTTTGTTTTTGTTATTTGTTATGTCAGTTCCAGTTCATAGTGAGTTTATATTTAGCAGGTTAAACATAAACTCACAATGCTAGGTCCTGTGCCCACTTCATGCCTGTTGCTATGTCAGTGTAGCTGCCTATAAAAAGAGCAAGTGACATTTGGGGACAGCATATCTGATCCAACTTCACAAAGGGGAGCTGTCCCCGTCAACAACATCAACACAAAACCCTTTACCATGAGATCAAACGACATATCCCCTATACTCCTACACCATTTTCTGCTCATCACAACAACAATTTACTGCTTTACTGGGTCTAAAAAATCCAATACAATAGCTCACAAATGACACAGAATCATATTAGGGAAGTAAAAAGGCTATAATTCACATTAGCAGAATATAATCAGGGCAGTTTCCGAACATGCTCACAGTCACCTCAACCTTGAACTTTTGGTCCTGCCAATTATGGCTCTTACCCCCTCCAACCCTCCACCATCCACCACCACCAGTTGTCCAGTAAACTTGGACAAAGTCCCATAGTTCTGGTTCCATGGGGTGGCACTCCCAAGATCTGCTCGACAGATTGCTGATTCTCATGTCAGCTCTCTGACTCTGCTGCATCTGCTATGGCTCCTGCTCCCAGAGGCCCTGGCCTGGCTGGCACAAGAATCTCTGGCCCCAAAGGCTTTATTGCATCCTCTTGTTTCTTTACTAGTGGTGAGGTTCTCAAATTCTGCTGCTGGATCTGCTTGATATAATGGTGATACTAGGCAATCCCCTTGTGGATAGGCCAACACACCCTACCTATTTGCATACTCCTGCCTATCCACATGGCAAAGTTAGAAAATGACTAGCAAAACACAATGCCGTAGAATGTTAGCATCAAAGAACTTAAACATCTTTAGAATAGAATTCTGACTCCCACTGAGTAACTGAAGCCTGTCCCCATTGTCTCTCTTGTCTCCTGCCCAGCTCCTAGCCGGAGAGACCATGGTGCAGGAGGCTTTCTGACCTGCCATTGTTGTTGATTGCCATCGAGTAAAGGACAACTCATAGCAACTCTAAGAACAATCATCATTTATCAAAGTTCACAGAGTTTCCAGAGGCATGCTGTTCAGGAAATGGATGCCACTTATGCAAAGTGCAGGACTACTGCCTGGATCAGGGCTTTTGGGGTTTGGTGATCCAAACCATGGTATTCTCAATTACTTTCTATGCATCTGAGAGCTGGATAGTGACCAAAGATGAGTGAAGAAATCAATACCTTGATTTGTGGTGCCAAAGAAGAGTACTGGACATATCATGGACTGCCAACAGATCTGTCTTAGAAAGGATGAAACCAGGTTGTTCCTTGGAGGCAAGGATTGTGAAGCTGCATCTCACATACTTTCAGCATGTCACCAGGAGGTAACCAGTCTTTGGAGAAGGATATTATGCCCAGAGGGGTAGAGGGACAACGCAGGAGAGGAAGAGTGACCCGGGATGAGATGGATTGACACAGTGACTGGGGCAATGGGGGCAGGAGTGTCAGAGAAGGTGAGATTAGCTCAAGATAGAACAGGGTTCCTAACCATTGTTCACAGGGTCGCTATGAGTTGTCAACTTGATGGCACTTAACAGCAACACAGGTATTAAAGCAGAGGAAGTTCTTAGTGCTAGGGAGTGGTGTATCTTTAGGCTTCTCTCCACAAAGAATGATTCACAAAACAGCAGATGAGAAAATAAAGAAAACTCTTACAAAATAGCTGTGGTGCCAAGAAACAATATGATAGTTGTACTAAAGGAAAATTAGTGCCAAAATGAGGTAGGAACAACAACTTGTAGATTGGAAAACATTGTTTCAATTCATTTCTTTTTCTTCTGAGTCCCGCCTCTGCTACATGCTCAGCAGTTCCCTTCTTCTAGCTGCATAAAACCTCTCCAAGTAAACTCCTTTTTGAATTGTTTTAAATTTACCCTTGCATATGGTGGTTTTAGGCTGAGTACTGCTGTGAAACTCTCCTACTCACATAGGATGCTGAACCAATGAAATCCTTTATGGCAGGGGGACAGTGATGTGTGCCAAAGGCTGGAGGATTAAAATGATAACTAGGGCCCAGACTTCAGTTAAGCAAAGGAAAAGGAAAGCATTTCATAACAGAAGAAAACGGGCAAATCAGATCACTATTATCCTTGTGGGAGAAGGATGGGCAGGCTCCTTCCATATGATTAACTGCCTCTGAAAACCCACTGAGGGTCAGCTGTGGTCGGTTCCATCTCTACGGTCCACGAACACCAACAACATAATATTCTTACATTTCCTTAAGCATTGACTAAGCTTGGTTACTGACTTCAATATAGTAACAATAAATCTATGGTAAACTTTCAAGGTCATTTTAAAATGTTTATTAGGCTAAAAAGACTAGTTCCATTCTAATAAAAATGTATGCATTTTCCATGCGTAAATCTTAGCTATAGG